CGTCCTGTAACGTCGGAAAGCCCAAAAGACAACTTTGTTGAAAAATGTACGTTTTACGAAGGGAATGGGCCAATTTTTGCGTCTAGGGGCCCTCTTGGGACGCATGTTGGAGGCTTCTTGGGGCCTCTTGGGGGCGTCCTTGGACGTCTGGAGGCCATCTTCAGCATCTCGGAGCCCTCTTGGAGGCCTCTTGGAAGTTTCTTGGGCCGTCTTGGGCGCTTCTTGGGCCGTCTTGTCTGACTGGGGAGGCCTCCGGCAAGCCCCGACGAGCCTCCGGGCCCCCCGGGGCGCACATTTGTGGTCGGGGTCCGGGCCCTCTTGGAAGCTTCTTGGGCCGTCTTGGGGCGGTCTTGGGCGCCTCTTGGGCCGTCCTGTAACGTCGGAAAGCCCAAAAAGCAACTTTGTTGAAAATGTACGTTTTACGAAGGGAATGGGCCAACTTTTGCGTCTAGGGGCCCTCTTGGGACGCATGTTGGAGGCTTCTTGGGGCGTCTTGGGGGCGTCCTTGGACGTCTGGGGTCTCCTGGGGCCTCTTGAGGGGCCTCCTGGGGGCCTCCTGGCGGCCTCTTGGGGCGGAAGGCTCGAGCTTGCGGTTCGTGGTCCCCCTCTGGGCCCCCTCTTGGGCCCGTCTTGGGGCCCTCTTGGGCCATCTTGGGCGCCTCTTGGGCCGTCTTGGGGCCCTCTTGGGCTGTCCTGGGGCCCTCTTGGTAGCTTCTTGGGCCGTATTGGGGCGGTCTTGGGCGCCTCTTGGGCCGTCCTGTAACGTCGGAAAGCCCAAAAGACAACTTTGTTGAAAATGTACGTTTTACGAAGGGAATGGGCCAATTTTTGCGTCTAGGGGCCCTCTTGGGACGCATGTTGAAGGCTTCTTAGGGCCTCTTGGGGGCGTCCTTGGACGTCTGGGGTCTCCTGGGGCCTCTTGAGGGGCCTCCTGGGGGCCTCCTGGCGGCCTCTTGGGGCGGAAGGCTCGAGCTAGCGGTTCGTGGTCCCCCTCTGGGCCCCCTCTTGGGCCCGTCTTGGGGCCCTCTTGGGCCATCTTGGGCGCCTCTTGGGCCGTCTTGGGGCCCTCTTGGGCTGTCCTGGGGGCTTCTTGGGCCGTCTTGGGGCGGTCTTGGGCGCCTCTTGGGCCGTCCTGTAACGTCGGAAAGCCCAAAAAGCAACTTTGTTGAAAAATGTACGTTTTACGAAGGGAATGGGCAAATTTTTGCGTCTAGGGGCCCTCTTGGGACGCATGTTGGAGGCTTCTTGGAGCCCCTTGGGGGCGTCCTTGGACGTCTGGGGTCTCCTGGGGCCTCTTGAGGGGCCTCCTGGGGGCCTCCTGGCGGCCTCTTGGGGCGGAAGGCTCGAGCTTGCGGTTCGTGGTCCCTCTCTGGGCCCCCTCTTGGGCCCGTCTTGGGGCCCTCTTGGGCCATCTTGGGCGCCTCTTGGGCCGTCTTGGGGCCCTCTTGGGCTGTCCTGGGGCCCTCTTGGAAGCTTCTTGGGCCGTCTTGGGGCGGTCTTGGGCGCCTCGTGGGCCGTCCTGTAACGTCGGAAAGCCCAAAAGACAACTTTGTTGAAAATGTACGTTTTACGAAGGGAATGGGCCAATTTTTGCGTCTCGGGGCCCTCTTGGGACGCATGTTGGAGGCTTCTTGGGGCCTCTTGGGGGCGTCCTTGGACGTCTGGAGGCCATCT